TACTATAATGAGAATAAAAGCAAAAATATGACATAATTTGGATCCAAAATATATTGAAAATGTTAAATCTACATATGCACACACACTACTCTCTAAAGTGTTACTTCCATAAGAAAAGGAATGCAAATGTATTTTCTTTCCCTGTTAAAGTTATGCTGCAGTGAAACTAGGGCAGCTAATGAATCAGCGTGCATCTGTGGGGGTACAGATATGAACTCACTGTGATTTTTGCCCTTTGCCCTGTGAGTGCTGCTGCTGTTGAGGGGTCAAATCGTGTCCCACCAGGCATTACATCCCATTAGTCTCATTGTTATGTGTCGGTATCAACAACAACAACCGACGCCTCTGGGTCACTCTCAGCCCTGGGATGCTGGTGAATCATCGATCGCCTTCCCCGGTCACATAACCGCTTACGTCTTGTGTGAGAAGACAGTTGGAGGCACGATGTTGTGATGTTGTGATGTTGTGATTAATGAATTGAAATACTGGCAAGTTGTTAAATGCACAAGTGCGCACACAGTCAAAGGCCTGGCTCAGGCTAATTACAGAAAGTTGTGAGTTGTTGATTGGAATACTTTCACAGTGTGTGGGATGAGATTAGTTTTAATACATGTAATAATGACGTCTGTGAATTCACTTTACTGTTCTACTTACAAAACAAAGGCAGAGCCGCTTACAGATAAATATGCAGCATCTGATGCCACTTGTTTTGTTGCATCCAGCGCTTAATTATATTTAGAGCAACTCTGGAGGAAGTGAATTCATCTGCTGGGTCAGCCACATTTATTAAAGTCAAGGGAATTGTAGAGTATAGGAAAAAATCAAATGCATTTTCTGGGGAAAAACTGTTAATACTGCAATGACTCACTCTTCACAGAAGGTTATACAGCAAGAAACAACAGTGGTGCTTTGAACGTGTTTATGTCTGTCCTTTGATTACAACTGTAAACAGACAACAAAAAAATCCGATATGCAAGGGTGTGATTGGCTGTTACAATCATAACACACTGCACCAGACCTACTGCGAGTCGGCGATGGCACAGGGACGAAAACTGAATCACGGAGGAACAGTGATGTGAACAATAACACTAGTTACTGCATCACTGGTGTTCTGGCTTGTGTCATGGTTTTTTGGTGTTCCATGGAGAGCTCCTGTGAATTCATTTCACACGCTTTGCTGCTGAAATGTTCTTTGTTAACAAGTGTTCCTCTTTCTCACTGCGGCAAATAAAACTAGTCTTCTAAAATTTCAGACATTTTACACCTGCATCTCCCCAAACCTTCACAGACACAGTTGCTTCTGCCGCAGTGTTGAAATGGCAATGACACATTTTGACACAGTTTCAGCTACAATTTGTATGAGTTTCTATTCCCTGCTCCCTCCATCCTCTACAACAGGCTACGTAACCTGTTGCATTACCTCCAGCATGCAACTTTTACTGGTGCTGCTTCTTTTCTCATTTTGACATCTGATTTTTTACTGTAGCATCTGACAACAGATGGAAGTCTTAATCACAGCTTAAGGAAGTGCTACAGTTTGTAATCCTAAAACCTGGAACATTAGCTGTGCTTAAACAGGAGACTTTTAATGCCTCCGTGCTGGTAACAGCTGTGACTGGAGGCATTATGTTTTTAGGTTGTCTGTCTTTACGTATGTAAGTCACAGTCTCATGAACGCTGCAATATCTCAGGAACACCTTGAATCGAATTTGGCACAAATGTCCACTTGGACTCAGGGATGAACTGATTAGATTTTTGGTGGTCAAACATCAAAAGGTCAAGGTCACCGTGACCTCACAAAACACGTTTTTGGCCATAACTCAAACATTCATATGTTAATTATGACACAATTTAACACAAATGTCTAATAGGGCGATATTTACCATCCAAATGGTCAGAGGTAAAATTCACTGTGGCATCACAATGTTCTGTAAAAACACTTCTGGCCATTATCCAATGCTGTTACTCAAGAAGGGAGATTGTGGCCTTATTTCTTGCAACTTGACTGGTTGGCAGAAACATACAACTACAAGGCAGTAATTCTAGTTCTTTTTTATGAAACTTCAAAATACTCGACCAATCACTGGGCCATGAGCATATTCAGACACTCGATCATGTCATTTTGTAATCTATGCAATTTAACTGATGATATAACAGCTGGCATTGGCAAACAGGCACTGGCTATGAAATCCCATATGAACACTACAACTGAGCATTATTCACAAGTCACAACAACAATATCAACACTGATACATTCCTTTGTTGAAGCGAGAGAAAGTCTCAAAATTAAAGCTGAAACTATTATTTGATTAATCGATGGACAGAAATTAAGTCGACAAGTTTGCTGATCTTCCATCGTGATGATCTGGACTTTTAATTTCTTTTATGTGATAATAAGCTGAATATGGACTGCAGGCCGGGCAGTTGTAATAAACATTTTTCACTACTTTCCAATATTTCATAGACCAAACTATTAATCGAGAAAATAATCAGCAGAATAATTCCCAAAGCCCTTGAGCAGACAATCCTTGTTACATCTACTTATCTGTGCACTGAACACATGTAAGGACGAATAGCAAAAGGTGTGGTGAGTCACACTAGCTTGTCTAATATCATCTAGCAAAACTGTATTTCTCTGCTTTTCCATGCATACAAATATGTCGACACAAACACTCCGTTTGGTATTGCTCATCCACCATCTCAACCACACATGCTAAATGTACAAATGTGAAAGGACACCTTAGGTTCATGACTTCACAAATAGCATTTGTTCCACTGACATGGTTGGGTGCGTTTGTTCTCCGTGCATGTAAACAGATTATTCAGTCTATGTGTTGTGTGCCACAGAAAAATATTACATATTTCTTCACATACAGCAGCTCCAAACATTTCCATTACAGGGAATGTTATGGAAAGAATTATGGTTATATGTGGCACTTAAAGACAGTATTTTGTCGGCTTAACTCTTTGCATTTAAAAAAAAAAAAAAAAAAATTGAAACTGCCAAGGAAAACAAACTGGACTCTATTTGTTATTAAAACTGGCAAATGAAATTATCACACATTTTCTAATCAGTCTCTGGAATAAACAACTAATCAGCATGGAGATGAGAACTGGTGAGTCATCCAGGGCAGATGATTAGCTGTAAATTCACTCATTTACTAAACCTCGGTTGATGAACGGCGTGGAGTCGAGCAGAACGGAGAATGGCGTGACAAAAGGAGACACCAGTGCGTCGCGTGGCGTTTGGAAAAGACAGAGAAGAACGATATTTTCTAGAGGTTTCATATTTCTTTCATTAGTTATTCTGTTTTGGGTGAGGTAGGTATTCTGTATGGAGCGCTTCCTCAGCACTTCTTCTTCACAGGAGGTGAAGCTATTGGAGGAGTCAGCAACTTGGCTACGGCTAAGAGCCCCGCACCGGAGAGCTGCCGCATTTGTCTCCTCATAGGGACGTACTGGGTCTTCACAGTTGCAGCAGCCCCCCCCCCCCCTGTTCAGTTGCTCACTAGAGATTTTGCACATCCCCGGGGAAAAAGGCACACTTTCACATTTGACATTGTACTGTATTAATGATGAGTCTAAATCCTGCTCTGACTCCTAGCTAGGATTTCTCCAAAGGCTGACACCAACAAAAAGCAAAAAGTAGAGAACAAGAAATCTGGGAAATCTGTAGTCGAAATGGCAGCACATTTTCAAGCACTCTATGGTGATTCTTTGTAGGATTTCTTACTGCATAATAAATGGGCAAAAAGTCGTTTTAAAACAGTGACAGAATGTGCTGGAAACACACTAATTCACACAATGTGAGACATGTGACCACGTCTGAAGGCCAACGTGCTTACAGCTGCTCTGAACTACCAGAACCGCATGTTGTAAAATACTAATGATAGACGCAGGGAGTCATAGAAGCTGATCTTGAGTGGCAGAATTACACTTCTTACTGACTGCATCTCTGCTTGTTTCCCAGTCTGCAGCAACTTAATCAGGTTCTCCTCAAACAACTTAGTCTGAGTAATGACAAGTCAGCAATGAAATGGTCTCTCATGAAACCCAGCTGGACACGTTATTGGATAACAAGGGCCTCACAAACGAGATACTCGAGATATTATCGTTACGTAGTGGAAAGTGCAAGAGACGACGTCACTTTGTGAGGAGAACACACGCTGAGAAGAACGACTCTCAACCCAGAGCAAATCACTTCCCTCCGTGTGAAACACTGAGCTGTTCAAAAGAGTCGTTGGTGGCTGACTGACTAAATTTTCATAAGGGAAAATTCTCGTACAGCAAAGCTGATGTGTTACATGACTGTCAGCTCTGAATCCCCTGCATGTGTGTGGGGACTGAAGCTCTGCATTTCTGTTCCTGCCTCTAACACACTGAATCCCATTACAACACTCTCAAACCAGAGAGAGAGAGAGAGAGAGAGAGAGAGAGAGAGAGAGAGAGAGAGAGAGAGAGAGAGAGAGAGAGAGAGAGAGAGAGAGAGAGAGAATACACAGCCAAGCCCCCCCCCCCTTTTGCTGTGCCCCGCGATGTGAAGGATGCCCTGGGCATTAAGGGAAACGATGCCTCAGACTCCTGTAAATAATGCAAGTTTGGATGTTTGGGTTTTTTAAGCACTTGCGAACATGAACTGTTCTCAACCCTTGGCAAGTAGGAAAAATGAGTAAGGGCAGGTACATCCAGACAGGGCAAGAGCAGGGAGGGAAAAATGTCATCAAGTGTTGAAAAGACTGAGCGAAGGAGGAGAGCGAAAAAGAAAAAAGGTAGAAAGTTCAGTCTCTCAGTGAGGGCATTAGGCTTCGAGGCATGAAGAGTATGTTGGCAGAATGTCTGGTAGAGGTTCAGTGATCCATCAAAGCAAAGCCTGTCTTTCCATCCTGCCTGCTGGAGAGCCTTCCATCTCTTGCCTTGCCTTGCAGTAACTCCCCCCCACCCCCTCTCTGTCTCTCCGTTCCTCTCTTTCTCTCTCCCTCTCTCTCTCCCCACCTTTACAGAACGTCTCCTGGGGTAAGCAGTACTCTTATGCCCTCTTCAAAGCCATGAGCCACATGCTGTGCATCGGGTATGGTGCCCGGGCACCCGTCAGCATGTCTGACCTGTGGATCACCATGCTGAGCATGATTGTAGGCGCCACGTGCTACGCCATGTTTGTGGGCCATGCTACAGCTCTAATCCAATCACTGGACTCCTCGCGCAGGCAATACCAAGAGAAGGTAAGAACCCAACAGTGACACATTGTAATAGTTACACCTGAGACTGAGACAAAAGATGAGGTTTATATGATTATCATGATACTTGATGTTAGTAACGTTTAAGTAATCCTTTAAGAAGGGAACTGCATGGTGTGACGTACAACTCATTCATGTTTTGTTGTTTCAAGGTAAGTAATGTTAATTACCACTGGGATGGTCTTAAAGTATTAATCTGAGGGTTTTGCTCTTTCGGTCTGCATAAAATCCTGCTCACTGCAGCTCGACTTAAATAAATTAGGTATTCTCTCAGTGGCCCTGTGGACCAATGGGTTGAGCTCTCATAGATCACAATATCCGGGGTGGTGACTAGGAAAGAGGATTTTCTCCCCCCAAGCAGATCACACAAGGCCAGTGGGGTGAGGAGGTCCATGAGTTGGACCGACCAGCCACCTCACTGTCTGTATGATGCCAGTGAACATTTTATTCTTCCATTTCATTTTAGTCCCTATTACATCTTTTTTTTTTTTTTTTTTTTGCATAGAGGGTGATTATCCAGCATTTCAGCCGAGCCACCATCTGTGATCCTGCTAAGGGGCCTGGGCAATTCCCAGAACACACGGCCATGACTGATGCGCAGTGTGCCCGCACGCAAGAACCTGAGTTTAACTCCCAAACTTTTCCTGCACTTGTGCTGCAGACCATGTACATACGCCATTGTAGGGCAGGGGTTTATAGGGCTCCGTGGCATGTCTTCATCCACTTCAGAACTACGGTCGTGATTAAAATGAAGAGATGACCTTTAACTTATACAGTAACAAAGATGATGTAAGCTTGGATATGCTGATTATGTATTTACGATTTTTTGTCAGATTTTTCTTGTCAGATGAAACAGTTTCAAATCATTTAAAGACACCGAGTTGAGTGAAAGATCATGTCTTATGGCTTTTGCAGTCATATTAATTTCAAATTTGCAATGTGTAACAGAGCTGACACAATGAGTCAATTACTAGAAAATTAATCTGCAATAATTGTAATGACATATAGTTATGGTATAATTTTTTAAGTCACTTTTCAAACATTCTTTGTTTCCAGTTTTTAATTTGTGAGGATTTGCCACTTTTCTGTCTCATGTGATAGTAAACCAAATAAGAGCTGCAACAATTAGTTGATTAATCAATTAGTTCATTGCCAGAAAAATTGATCTGCAACTACTTTGATATTCAATTAATCATCTAAGTCTTGCTGCCTTTGTCTATGTTTTAAATCCTTAAACTGGATGTCTGGCTTTTGGACTGCTGATCAAACAAAACAAGTCATTTAATAATGTAACGTAGGATTCTGGAACATTAGATTTGACATTTATCAATATTGTCTGACATTTTACAAATGAAAAACAATGAACAGATTAATATATAATAAAAACATATTGTTAGCTGCAGCCCTTCACTGAATTGCTTTGGGTTATCAGGCGCACTGAACAAGAACTTTGATGAGTCGAGGAAAATTAAGGCTGCAACTTTTTTCATTATCAATTTACCTGCTGATTATTTTTTTCAGTCAATCATTTTGTCTGTAAAATGAGAAAATACTGGAAACCATTATAATTGCCACGAGTTTTGTTTGACCATACATAAAAAAATCCCCATAAATGACACAGAACAGCATCTTCATATCTAAACAGGTTGAACCACTGAATGTTCAGCACGTATGCTTGAAAAATTAATGAAATTATTATTTTTGTCAGTTAACTAATTGATTAATTTACCGATCATTTCAGCTCTACAGCAAATATATGCATAATAAAAACGATCGTAGTTGCAGCCCAACTATCTATATGCACACACAAACACCCACACACACACACACACACACAGTAAGGCACAAAGCACACATCAGTTATCCTGCTGGAGGCTGTTGCCATAACTCTTATTGGAGCATCAGTGGAGTCACCTTGGCTGTGACTATAACAGCTCATGCTAAAATACCACTTCATTCGTTTACACCTTGCGTATAAAAGCATTTAGTTGCTATCAATTCATTCTACAGTGAAACGATGGCCTGACCTTGCCAGCCTCTCCCATGGTCAATGTGATTTAGAGAAACCATCCCTCTGTAGTTTTGGCACAGTGCTAGTACTTAAAACTCGTCATTTAACGCAATCTGTTTGCTGTACAACTACTACAACTACAACAAAGTACAACTACTATAATATTGTACATCACTGGACCAAGTCATCCACAACTCACAATTTAAAAAAGCCTCAATCATGTAAGGAATGTAGTCAACTAAAGACGCTGGTGTCAGTGAGATGCCTGCAATACTAACCATTCAATTTCACTCTCATCTCTCCCTGACAGACTTCATTTCATCTTCACACCAATTATCAGCAGGTTCACTCAGTGACTCAAGTGTTGATTTACACCAAACCAGAAAAAGTCAAGGCACTGCAGGACAAAAAGATGCCGATGGGGTGGGATAGAGAAAGCTCAGTGAAAGACCTTTCAGTCTGAGGGGATAAAAATAATCACTGCCAGGTACACACAGGTATTTAATTAACAGTATGGAGGTCATTTCTGCACGAGCAGGTTTTCATCATAATAGAAAATATAATTTTTCACCATCAATCACTAACAGACGCAACAGCACATTCCACCAAAAATTAATGACAGCAGGTCGCCCACAGCAAACAAGTCAGCCGTTCGAAGTCACTGTTTGAATTAGTGACATGTCTCTTGCTCAGTATGTGATGTACATCTGCTTCACAGCAAATCTGCTTAATCTACATCCCACTTTATCCTTTCAACATCCCCCCAGGCATTGAACTGACAGCTTTGAGGCTGTGAATGCCATGTTCATGGTAACAGAGCCCCAGTGTGGAGCCAGATTCAGCTCGGGCTGATTTGCTGCATGGCTGTGCATATCAGCAGAGCAGGCTGAGGAGCAGCAGGGATGGGTTCAGGGTGCTCAGCCTCTAGTCATTACATCTATCTCTGCCGCAGCTGGGGGGCTGGAAACACGGATGGATGTGGGTGTGAGGTTAGAAGTTAGCTAAGGACAGAGAATGTTTATTAGAGGGACTGAAGATGAGAAAGGAGGAGAAAGATTTATTCTTGTCAATAAACTCTACTTAGATTCCAAAAACATATCCTGAAACAACTTGTTATAACGCAGTTTTCATGTTCGGTTATGTTCAGAACAACAGAAACATGATTCAAGAGAGAAAGTTCACGATTCAAACAGATGGAAGGAAATGCACAAAGAGAAAGATATAGAGGAAGAGAGGAATCAGAGAAATAGTACAGAGTGGGAGAGAGGAAATGAGGGTGTAAAGCATGTATGATCACTGCCTGCTGTGATGCCCTGGTGCTGAATCACTGTCAGCCAGCTGCGTGTCATTCAGTAGCCCAAAGGGTTATTCTTTAAGACGTGTCCAAGATGTGCCTCATTTCATATACGCGGCTTAGAGTCCAATGTAAACCTAACTTCACTGCTTCTGTACCCTGGAATAGTGTACTGGTTAAATGAAGGTAGAAGAAAAGACTCAAAACCAGTCAGTAAATGTCAGTTGTGACACTAAAGTAGCACATTGACTCATCATCTACATTTTGAGGCATCCAAATATATAGATGATACGAGCAGCCATGGTAAATAATACAGTACTTATTCGCTTTCTTTGCAAGAGTTACATGAAGAGCAGAATAACACTTTAAGGTCTGTGACGATCTAAATGCGAAGTTATGCTAGCAGCTGGTTAGCTTGGTTTAAAATAAAGACAGCTCACAAATTAACACATTATGCCTTGTTTGTTCCATCTGTACAAAATCAAAAGTCACTGCACTAAGAAATAGTCCAGCACAGAAACCCATGCATTTTTACATTTCTTTTGGAAAGAGACAGGCTAACTGTTTCCCTGTGTATACAGGCTTTGTGCTAAGCTAAGCTTAGAGTCTCTTGGAGGGAACTTCATATTTTCTGCACATAGGAGAGTGGTATCAGACTTCTCATCCACCCCTTGGAAAAAAAAAAGAAAAAAAAAGAAAAAAAAAAAAAAAAAAAAAAAAAAAAAAGAAGTGAATAAGCATGCTTCCCAATATATCAAACAAAATGGCTCTTGTAGATGACACAGATAGGTGTCAAATCACACAAAAATAGAAGTGACACTGTTTCTAAAAAATATGGTGGAAGGGAAGATTTTGAAATTTCATCATGCAGAGGGAGAAAAATCGGGGAAATTGAAACTCCAGGAGAAGAGAGAGGAAGGAGGCAGGAAAATCAGAATCACCCACTGAAGAGATGAGAACGGAAGAGGGATGTGTGTTGAGTGTGGTGGCGGGGCTGTGGGGTGACATTACTTTCTGATTTGTTGAATGAGTATCTCGATGGCATCAGCTGGAAGGAACGCCAGGCTGTGGGCGCAGGAAAAATGAACTCACTTCACTTTAATTTAAGTATGAAACTGCCAATCAGATTTATTTACTCATTAATTAAAGACATCAAAACGCCATTCCGGATGGTTCCGACCCACTTTAACCCCTGTCAGACCTGAAGTATCAAGAATGTCATGTCATGCTCAGTGCCACGTTTGCCTCCCTGGTAAAAATAACCTAGCTGAGCCACTGCTGACGCTCTCCAACTTCTCAAAATAAATCAATTTCCCGCAAACAAAACCCTGGCCTCTTATCACCTTTCTGCAGCCGGGAGGGGAATCAATGAGGGAGGCATTGTTACTCAAGTGTCTTCTCGCTCGCTGACAAATTTCATTTTGAGGGCCCTGCCTGCGTCACACTGGCCATAGAGCCTGCCACTGGACCGGGTTTCCAACCTCACAGCTGCTGTTGGCTCTCACCTACTGCTCCACTGTGATTACAAGAGGCAGTGTGAGAGACAGTGTTTATTTTCAGGTGTCAGGGCCTTGGACTGGCCGGGAAGATCGTGTTCACCGGCCGGTCTGCAGCAAAACTCAGTGAGGAAACAGAGACTGATCAAAATAGAGGAGCCAAAGTGTTTCCCCTCTCCCTTTCCCTCTGCTTTGGATCAATAACTTCCTTCAGGTTAATGCGGACAGAATTTTCTTCTCTCACTAAGATTCAACTAATTACCACAAACAGGACATTTCTCACCTCTTCGTCACTGGCAGTATTGCACAAGTGGAAAAGTCCTGCATCCAACCATGAGTGCACAGGCACACGCCATCTGGCTCTCTCACAGGGAGACCACAAAACTTTTCATCCTCTCTTCTACTCTATATATTTTCTAAAATATTTCTAATTTTCTAAAATCAATGGTTTGTATTTGTTCTAAATTCCCAGCATCTCTTTGGGATTTACAGTATGTCCCTCTAAACCCAGGGACCTGAAATATCATTTTCTTGTTGTACTTTGTATGTAAAGTGCAAAAAGTAACTAATTAACTATTTAATAATTTCACCAATGATTTAAATTACAGCAAATATAACCAACTTAGACTTCAGTTGTGTAGTAACTAGTAACAGTAGATATATCCAACTAATTTTGCCAGAATAATTAAAGTAAAGATAATTTCATACAAAATGGTGCATCTGATATGTTTCCTTTCAGTATGAATTAAAATAGCAAAGTTGTGTGTTCTTTACATAAAAATGAAAAAGGATATAAATATAAAAATAAAATAAATAAAAATAATTTTGATGTGTAACAAAATTTTTATTTTTATTCCACCATTTTTAATAACAAAAAGTACTAAATACTAAATTATTTTGAAATTCTACATTATGATTCTTCTACTTAAATGTGTCCTGAATGTGAAGTTAGTTTAAAAAATGTCTGATCATTAAATTATAATGATAATATATTATCACTTTTTTATCAATTCATAAAAACTTCAGCAGTTACATACATTTCAATATTAACCACAGGAAATAAAAACAAGACAATCAGAGACAAGGGACACAGGAGTTAGAGAATCCCTTTGACATCTCCTTGGATTCTTGGCAGACCCTATTAATCAATACTGTCCTCAATACTATTCATGTTCTCTGAATGAGAGAAACCACAACAAAATATTCAAGAGAAATTATGCAAATAATTACCACTTTGACAGTCATGCAATCCCCTACCATCTGTTTCGTAGTCTCTGCAGCTCTGAAATCTCTCCAGGATATCAGGTTTACCTTGCTAGTTCACATTAGATCATAGCTCCGTTGCCTATTAGAACTGGGCTTCCTGCACGGCTGAGATAATCAGAACTGCTACCTTGGTCTGACATAGCCCCGGGCTTGTACTTGTTCCTACTTTCCTTCACCACCTGCCTCCCTCGTTCTGCCTCTCCCTCCCCACACACTGAACCAGGACATGGCACTGTGACTATGTGAGAACACGGCTTGTCCTCAATACAGAGACACAAATACACAGACTGTGAAGACCACGTTTTTTTAATGCAGCTTTGCTGTTTATTCAAGGTGGACTCTGAAAGCCGCTGCTCATTTCCATTAATTATAAACACTGTCATTAGAATATTATTTGGTGTTTTACATATTGATGCAGCGACTCTTCACTGAACTGCTGTCCATCTGCTTTTCTTTGCCTTCCCAGTACAAGCAAGTGGAGCAATACATGTCCTTCCACAAGCTTCCAGCAGACATGCGACAGAAAATTCATGACTACTACGAACATCGCTACCAAGGCAAAATCTTTGATGAGGACAACATCCTGAGTGAACTCAACGACCCGCTCAAAGAGGTGAGACAACTTCTCTCGCAAAACCCTAAACAGAATTTAGGCATTTGCTCTTTCAGAAGCTTCTTCACTCTGTTTGAAGGCTTTAGTTTTATTTTTGGAACAGATAAAAAGCACACATATCAAAAATCTAAAAAAGTTCCTGACAGGTAAGCTGTCACACTGTGGTTTTAGTTTTAGAACATGAATGAGTTTATTCCCTGAAGATGAGGAGTGCATCTTCATTTGGCACCTTTAAATGTGCAGTACGTGAAACTGAAATCCAGCACCTGTCATCTCATCTTACAAGGTCAAGGAGAAAAAAAACAAAAAACAACAAAACAGATTCTCCTCAGCATCCTGGGTGAACCCGGACTGAGCATCCGTCAAGATATGAAAATGATTTGTGCAGAAACAAACCTCAGTTCCAGAGCTGCTGAACGATTGCTGTTTTATTTGCAAGAGTCTGATGTGAGCAGTGTAGCACAGATAAACAGCCGCACTACTGCAGGATCAACCGAGCATACTGTATATTATTCACAAAGAGAGGTAATGAGAGGGAATACTGAAGTGACCAGTTTTTAACTTCTCATATCAGCACATTACATGGGTGTTTACGCACAGGGATATGGGAAAGGAGAGGAATAAAAAGCACAAGCAAGCATAGAGATCGTGACCATCTCTCATGTAACCCCATTAAGTCACCTCGCCGAGTCGAACATGGAGGCGTGGGGAGTTGCTGTATGGTCCCAGACGCTCACAGGGAGGTGCAGGGATTTAAAAGTATGAACTACAACAGAGAAAATCCTACAGGCTTAGTTCACCGTGCACAGCAAGCAAAGTTAAAATCTGCATGAAACGAGTGTCGCACAATGAAAGCTATGCCCATGGGACCGATGGGTAAAAACAAACTGAGTTGCACCGGAGCAAAACAGGACACATGAACCAGCTTACGTCACCAGTTTGCTGTACAACAGTTCTCAGGATGTGTCAGTTATGGATTATTCAACAGTCTCTTCCTCGCAGAGAAGGTAAATTTATACCTTTCATGCCAAGGACCATACATATAAAAGCTGGATGAAATCATTATGAAGAAACCAGATCCTGTAGTTTTGCTACATTCCCTCCAGGTTTCAGGCCACTTTTTTCACTTTGTCGGATCAGCCTTTTTGCACAGGAAGAGCTAGTTTCTTTCTCATCTGATGACAGTGGTGGAAAAAATCATTCAGTTACTTAAAACTACTAATAAAAGAGTATTTAAATCAAGTAAAAAAAAAACAAAAAAAACTTATCAGCAGAATATAGGCTACTCAAAGTATCAAACATATTCATTCCACAGAAAAGTGACCCCTATGATTGATGATTTATTATATGACATTATTAGATCATTAATACCGATGCATCATGTAGCATTTCACTGCCGTAGCTCAAGTCAGGTCAAGTAGTACTTTATTCATTTGTCATTGTTAAAAACAACAAGACAGCGAAGCAACTCCCAGAGCACATGATACAAAAGTACAAAAACAGTGATAATAATAATAATTAGATATTATATTATTATATACTAAAAAACAGTTTAAAGTGCAGGTTATGGCATGCAAGGTAATGCATGTAGTGCAATCATGATGTATGGTTAATGTAAGGCTGGTGGCAAAATGAATTAAGAAAACACTTCACTCATCACTGTTTAGCTGCTGTAAAGTTAACATGAAAGAAAGCAACTGTTGTTATTGCTAGAATTCAGATTGATCATTTTCTGTATTAGACCGACCCCACCCCTCACTCCTTTCTTCCTTAGACCACCATTTTAAAAAGCTGATGACTCATTCTAAACCTTCAATGCCACGCTGCTAAATGAGCTCGTTTTTGCCAACTCCTATTTGAATAATGTTAGACTCAAAAGGAACCATTTACAAAGAGAAAACTAAAGCTTACTCACATCTTGATTCATCAGTGTGGCACGACTAATGGCACTTAATGGCCTATTTGGCTTGTGGAGTAAACCGAGTGGTGATATTTCTTTTTTAAGTCCCTACCCATAGTCTGTATCTTCGGCCCCAGAAATCAATTTCTGCAGCTTCAATCCGACCCATTCCAGGTAGAGTGACTGAGACAGAAGCACTGTAGCTGAGTCGGGCTGATTGCTGCTGAGTGGCAGCACGTGGTGTTCCGGCACAATTTTTGGGGGTTGCCAAGTTATAGGTCATTTTGGGATCAGAATCAGCTCCACTCAGCAGCACTCAGACTCGCTTTGGGACAGAGGAGGACCATGAAATCAGCCCAAGTATCTTGCTGGCTGATTCAGGCATGTCGTTTATCACAAGATTTAGGCAGCTGCTGGCTCAAGCAGTTATGACTACGTGGGATTTGCATGACAACCCTGTTTCAGTTTACAAAACAACTTTGGCTTCACATTTTCAGGGGAGGGTGGGTTAAAATGTAATGATTAAAGATATCAGTAACCACAGATAACGTTCAAATAAAACTGAAGACCTGTTGTGACTGGACATCTCTTCTTAGTAAAAATATCATATTGTATTTTTTTAATATACTTTAGGCAACCTCTAAAAAATCCTCTCCAAGAGCCCTTTACTTGTTTGTATTCATTCTGCTTTGGAACTTGCAGGGAATTCAAATGTATTTGAGGCCAGTAATCCATCAAACTGAACAGTTTGTTGCTGGTATGCAGCTGTGGTCAGAAACCACTTTAAAAACTCTCCGTGGTGTTGAATTCAAGGACGCTCTGACATCCAACAATTGATAGTTGGCTGAAGTTCTGGTCTAGGAAAATCTTTTGTGCAAAGACACACAAGCAAACATGAACACCATGTAAAGGAAAATTTGGTTGTTTGTTGCATTAAAAGTTTTGCCGTACAGCGTCCATGTCTTCGATTTCAGATTTCCCACTAATGCACTTTAATGCATTTTCCCAAACTGCACTTGCTTGCAACTGTACGACAACACAATGACAAAGTGACTTTGATGAAAAATAATAAACTAAGAGACAAAACACACATCGTGATGGATTGCCTTGTCTCAGGCAAGTTTCTATAAAGTTGATTTTCAAAGTGAAATAAATAAAGAGAAAATATAAAATCTATATCAATATAATAATGTGTAATCAGCTAAAAGCCAGACTGTTTTGCTGTTCTCTCCGTCCATCCAACCCACCCACCAACCTTTCCTCTGTCTCGCTACCTCTTATTCTCCACCATATGACAAATCTTTAAATAGGCATAGCCAAAGATTGTTTCCCCAAGAGGACTCCTGGCTGGGCATGAAAACTGCTTACTATCTAATTCATTAGTTCTGGTGCATGATTGAGGTCAGAGCCCCGTGGCATTAGCTGACACCGGCATCTGAGGCTGAGCTAACATCTCTTTGCGTCGCCCTCATCTAGCTAGCAAGCGTCCCAGAGATTGGTTATCTCTCTGTTAATGTCCTGTTGTCACTGGAGGAGAGCTATCCCTCATGGGAGGGGGTCAACAACAACACACCGCCGCAGATGCCAAGTGCCCCGGCTTTCCATCTGCACAGCAACAGAGATGTGTGGGTAAACAGACAACAAGCTCCTAATCTCCTGCTGGGTCTGAGGGGACAGGATGAGACCAGAGAGATGGCCTGCAGCCGGCACCAGAGGGCAAACTCATCAGGATCTGACTCGTGTGCCAAAAAGTTTCTTCTCAGGAGTGATGGGAAGTGCTTTAGAAGTATTAGGGATAAAGCAGTAATATGCATCCAATTCATTTATGCTTGCAGATAACAGCAGCAGAGATGAAGGATTTGTGGTGGCGTTTTGTGTCTGAGTACCTCACTGATGTTCATTTCTCATGTTGTAGGTGGAAATAAAAGAGATCTCACCCGTTTCCTTTTTTTTTTTACCCTTCTACTAGGAAATTGTCAACTTCAATTGCCGTAAGCTTGTGGCCACCATGCCTCTGTTTGCCAATGCGGACCCCAACTTTGTGACGGGGATGCTGAGCAAGTTGAAGTTTGAGGTCTTTCAACCCAACGACTACATCATCCGAGAAGGCACAGTTGGGAAGAAGATGTACTTCATTCAACATGGTGTTGCAAGCGTCATTACCAAGTTCAATAAGGAGATGAAGCTGACTGATGGATCATATTTTGGAGGTAAGAACAAATATGCAACAATATGAAATGAAGTTTTGATTGATTTTTGTTTTTGCCTTTGATTCATTTTTCAAAATGCAAATCATGAATTAAGGGTTTCTGCTGCCGTGCAAGAGCACCGCAATCTCAGCCACACACACATTCCGACAGTATGTTCATACAGTTATATATTGAGACATGAGTCTAGCCTGAGGTCTCGCGTTTGATGCTGTTTGAAGTTAAGTTATTGTAGATGTAGATTCTCATTAACCAGTGTTGGACATTAGTCAGCTTCCGCAGTTACATAACCTCTCATCTGGTTGTTGGAGTAGGCCAAGGCATGGATCAGGCATCCCTTAGGACACACAGAGGTTCCTCCCCCACTCTTACCCTCACACACACAGACACACACACACTCATACACATGCATGAAGTCTGCTCCCCCTCCACACGTTCCCGCTGCATATACTTGGCAATAACAAAGCAGCTACTGTAGATGTTCACATTGTGTAAAGTCAGAAGATATTCCCTCATTCTGTTCTCTGCTGTTCTCCATCTTCCTCTCTCTTTCTTCTTAGCACGGGTCGCATTCTCTCTCCGAAACATTATGGATATCATTAATTTTTAAAATGTCAAATGTAATTTCATTGCACGTTGTTTACTCGGACAAAATCTGCAGGCAGACATTGTCGTGTCTGTGTGAAAGCAAAGCAAAGTTTCCTATTTTAGAGGCTCTTGCATATTTTATCTCATGAGTTCATCCCCACTATGGAGGGAGACTGAGGAGTCTAAGAATACCTTCACTTTGGTGTGTCTGCTGCATGCAGTTCATGTCTAACAGACGAGCCAAGGAAGACAGTGAATCAAGAAAAAGAAACGATTCATCTTTTTTCTTTTTTTCATGCTTGTTCAAACCACAAGATTGCTGTCATACACCCTCACATCATGCCACTCAGTTTGCAGAGCTACTTGCTTTAAATATGGGACTAACAGAGGACCCAGGGCATCTTAAATTCAGCATAGAGTGGACATGTCACACAGTGAGATATGTGGCAGTTGCAGTGCAGCAGTACATCTCATTCAAACAATTCATCCTCTGGTATGTAGCTCAGAGATATTCTGCTAAAGAATCATTGTCTGGATAAAACCTTCGGCCAATGAAGCTCTGACAAATGGATCTTACTGGCAGGGAGTGTGGGCGCATTTATCAAACAGTTTGAGATGAAAAAGAAAAGAAACCAGCAGCAGTTTAACTGGCTATCGTTTCCATTTAGAGGAGGAAAAGTAATATCAGTGGTGAGTAATTCTGAGTTTTGATAGTTTGAAGCTCAACTAACAGAAAGTCAACTTTCTCTTCTGTAATAATCACACTGTCGATTAACACTTTTGACAGAGTAAATACAGGAAAGATTAATCCCTTTACAAAGCTTAAACTTCTTATGTATCTCCTGACGGTCTTTCTGGTGCCTCTAACCTCTAATTAACTGGAGTAAAGCTTCAACCAACTGTTATTTTCGTTATTGATTAACATGTGGATGATTTTCTTGATGAAATGATGCAGTGTTTTATCCAAAAAATGTCTGAATATAGTGAAATATGCCTTTCACTTTTCCCCAAGCCCTAGCAGACATCTCAAACTGTATTGTCTAAGCAATAGTGCAAAAATGCACATTAACTTACTATCTTATACAACAATTTAAAGCAGAAAATCCTCATATTTTAGAAGCTGAAAACAACAAATGTTTGCAGTTTTGACTCAAACGATTAAGTGATTATTAAATAGTTTCCAGCTGAATGACTAACTGATTCACTGAGCAATCGTTTCATCTTTAGACTGGATTATAATGGAAGCATGTAGAGCGAATGGGCATACTGCTAGGCTTCCTGCAGGAGCTAAAGTGCTTGACTATTCACTAACGGGAGTCTCAATGAACTGCTCAGCTGAAAACTGACCTCTAGGGACCAAATTTAGAAATCCAGGAAATGTGTTGAGGTGGCCAGACGGTTACTGCTTTTCAGGGATTTTTGGATTATCTGTTTTTGAGCTTTATCTAAAACATTTTGAAGGTTATACCACAAAATATTAACTAGAATTTTTTTTTTTTAAATATGTGTGTGTGTTTGCCGATTGGTGTGTTCTCATTCAGTGCAGATTCCCAGATAACAGCTCTGTCCTTATTGATTTAGCCGAATACTAAAGAGTTCATAAGGGCAATTAATAGCGCAAGTAGAGCTTACAGCGGAGGATCATATCAGCATCTAAAATCATGGAGAACATACAGTACATGTCCCCATTTAATGAACAGTTTAATCTTTTAATTAAGAGATATGTTGTATCTGTCCAAATAATAAAGGGTGCGCTGCTCATTTTGCTGTGTTCTGCCGGTGCCTGGCCACCTGCTGTTGTCTTCTGCCCAGCTGGAATTTTTACCCGTTTGTACGGCATTTGTAGATGTGCCCTGAGTTGGGAGCAGCTGGCTGTGCCGGGCACCTCACTCTTCCCCCTTTTCTTCTGATGATTCACACTCCCCTTACAACCAGGCCAAACCAAGGCCAGAATGAGAAATCAGTGAAGGGGACTGAGACAGAGAGGGAGGAAGGGAGGGCGAGTCACAAAACCAGAGCCCAGGAACAGGAAACTATTAGCATAGTAATGAGCAGGACATCTATGAGGACAGTAGGTCACAAAGCACCTCCGACCATGGTCAATGCCACACCTGCATACCAAAAAGGTATCAGAGCGATGACTCCTGGGCCTCCCTCCATGAATAGGATTACATACTGGTACCACAGCTCCACAGTGAAGTCACTCTGAGGCCCAGGGACTAAGAGAGTATAATGCTAGGACAATGACAGACAGCGTATGAAAGTCCCTATTGGGCTTGAATGTCTTACTCATATGGGACTCCTCATCCCAGTCATGGAGGGGAGAAGGGGAAGGGGAGCTGGTTGCCATGAGAGTATATGACACATGAAGTGATTGAATATTATCTACAAAGCTCCTGGGGTCAGCGGTAATGCTTCGTGACAAGGCAACAGACACGTGTCAAACCGCATCATGTGAAGTGTTAACAGGGCCTTGCCTTACACCCACACCAACACACCTTGAAATACACACCTACACACAAAGGTCTTCCAGGTGACAGTGCTAATGTTCCCCTGAGAGAGGGCTTTAAATGTCGGTCCATTCCCAGACTGAAATCCTGTCAATTTGGTCACGTAACGAGGAGGAGGAGGGTAAAGTAGGCAAAAGTTGCTCTTAAATGATCTACGATGCCTCCATACATGGATATGAATATACAGATGTAAACACAGCCTAAAAACACAGCCACTAATGCCATTATTCTGCTGCTGGTTAAAATTCAGTTATGGGTTGGTGTGGCTACCTGACAACACAATCACAGCAGAGATAATAAATAGGCTCTGAGTAAAAAAATATGTTCGACCACAGACGTAGAGATCTGCATTTGGATTTCCATTATTCCCAAAAAATGTCTGTCCTGCTGAGTTTTCCAAAGTTCAACAAATTGTTAAACATTTTGGAAATGCGGTTATTCACTTTTTCTTGAGAGAAGATAGATACTGTCGATCTGTCCGGAAGCCAAATACAGAGCTAGAAATATATAGTTAGCTTAGCTTAGCTAGCTGTCCTGGCTTTAACTTTATATTTAAGATACAGAGAATTGTATCAAAGTTCTCATCTAAGTCTCCACAAGAAAAGCTAATAAGCATATTTTCCTGAACGCTGAACTCTTTGTTTTCCACATTGTGCAGCATCCTAACAACCTCTGCAGGGATTTCAGCTTACACTGGTTCTACTTGTCAGTTACAATTAGATCCAGAGAGAACTGCAAATTCAACAAAGTAGCTTACCTCGGCACTGCGTTCTAACTAATAATCTAATTGTGCTGGATACGTCTGTATTAGGGAACAGTTTTCAATATGAACTGAAATGGCAAAACAGTAATTAGAAGCCTCTGGTGCTTGAGGGAGAAGAAGTTCATTTTAACTATAAAACGTTTCAAAACTGTACATGGCACCAGTCCAGATTCAGTGCCATGGCATGCAGTCATTTGTTGTTTTCAGCTCACCCACTCAGCCAATTTAGCCTCTGTAGCCCCTAGCCACCGGCCGCTCACTGCCATGCGATGCATTTACCTCTTGATGTGGCCACACAGGATGTCATGCGCGCATATCGGGAGTACAGTTTGATTTTCACCAACACAGAACAACCGCTCACTGTCGGCCTTTCTATCTTATTTCTACCCTTTTGTGAAATTACATTTAACAAGACACATGTTTTTCTTTCTCTCCGTCTCCCTTTTTTCCTCGGTGTGTCTTCTTGTGTTAACAGAGGTACCACTTAGAGGTAGCTTTTCCATTATAACAGCACTCACACCTTATTCACACCCACAGATTGAGAGTGTTGCTCTCACATCCTGCACAGTCTGTGCTCTATTTTCATGACAGCCCGTGTCATAGCCAAGAAAGATCGCACCACAAGTTAACATTTAAAGATTTAATTAAGATGGAAGTTCTGCTGTAGATTGGACAGAAGTGCAAACGTGGGTGGAGGCTGAGCGTGTTGGTGGCTGAACAGGAACTATAACTCAAGTGTAGTACTTCTTGTACATTTTATTCTAGATTTTTTAATCATATTATTATCATCTCCTCTACATTTGTGTATGTTATGGGCAGGCGTCTCGTAGAACAATGTCATTTGTAACCTCAGAACTTTCAGTGTGCGTGTGTGTTGTGCTTGTATTTAATTTTAGAGCTAAATGTAGCTAAGCATATACACAAAACAGGAAACAAGACGCATGCTATGTTATTAGCTGATGTGAGGGTGTTAGCTTGGACGCATTGTTTTTATTGTTCTATACACAGAGCAGCGTGTTGTCTTCACATCTCTTCACGTCAGAAAGCACAGTGACTGAGGAAGAGTTTCGTTATACGTTGCATTCGAGAACTGATGCAGTGATGCCTGACAGGGTTGTTTTTGTAAAGCTGACTACTGTATCATATTATGGGACCATTAGCTCTCTGCAGGATGATGAATTATCTTAGTTTAATGCAAGTGACAGCAGCGCTGATGGGCTTCACATTTTATTTACATTCACATTATGCTTCTGCTTCTGTACCTTTTCCTGCTCAAGGTTCATCTATATGGTAATCTGTACTGTAATTACTGGGATGATTTCCTTTGTGACCCTCTGCAGTCTCCACTAACGGTCGCTTACTGTCGCTTCATGTGTCTAACTCTCACTCTTTGTTTCTCTTTGTGCTCCTGCCACACAGAGATCTGTCTGCTCACCAAGGGCAGACGAACAGCAAGCGTGCGTGCAGACACCTACTGCCGACTCTTCTCTCTCTCTGTTGACCATTTCAATGAGGTGCTGGAAGAGTACCCCATGATGCGACGTGCTTTTGAAACTGTCGCCATTGACCGATTGGACCGCATTGGTAAGACCTGCCTACATCTAATGTTCCTCTCTGATTGGTCGAATCTCTTGCCTGTCATCGTGCCTTGTTGTCTTGTCTTTAATCAGTATTCGTTTGCCTTCTTTCTTCATAAAAGCATTGTGTCTGCCATCTTGTGCTGCATGACCTGTATGCTATCTGTTTTATTTCTTACTTCCGTCTCTTTTTTGTCTTAAATAACATTAAAAAAAAAAAAAAAAAAAGAAAAAGAAAAAACGTTGTCATGTAACCAGCATTAATCCTTCTAAAGAACCAAGTAGCGTTTTGTGGTTGGATTAACTGGAAGGCAGTGCATGTCGCTGTCCGGGAGGGAGTCAGGTCGCCCCCTCGTTGGTTTGGTGTTGACCCCCCCACTGGATGCCAGCGAGTGGATGGAAGCTAACCTCACATGCATGTGTGTCTGGCCCTCTTTCCACTCATCTGCACTCCTGGGTATGAGCAGCACCCCACCCCGTATAAGAGATGTCAAAAAAAAAAAAAATCAACCAGACACAAACCCCCATAAAAAGAAACAAAGAGCAGGGCCAGGTGACATCAGGAAGATATTCCCACATCCACCAGGTCCAGCCCAGTTTGCAAACAGGAGGCAGGACCCAGCTATACCCACATCATCAACAGTACTTCCTGATTCTCACTGTCTGATAGATCAACATTTATAGAAGCACTTGGCCATGACAGCTTATAGTTGAAATAAGTGATAAGTCGCACATTTATTTGTTACGTTTAAAAAGGGGCACATGTATGTAACACAAACAGGGCAATAATTGGTTGCATAATTGGTCCTCTCCTCTCTGTAGATGTGTTCGGTCTGATACTTTGATTGGAGCTGACACACTGATAAATTAAACATGTAGAAGATTATCTAATAACATGAGAAGAAGTAGCACGTACTGTATGTCTCTGTCTTTGCTTATATTTTGCTTCATTATAAACATGTATCTTTTTGAAATGATAATGTTCTCCTTTTTATAACCCTTTTATTTATAAATAACTTGACAATAATAATTCGGCATGTTTCACAGAGAGTAAATTTAGGCCACTGTTGTTCCTGCATTTCATGCGTCGGAGTCACACTCAAGTAGTAAAAAGCATTTAGTGAATATACTGTAAGTGTGAACATAATGATGATTGTTTTCACACTTTGTCTCAGATACTGTAGTTATTCAGTCAGTCAGTCTTCTCAACCCGTTTAATCAGGAAATAAAATGACAATTCTCCTGAACCTGAAAGAGGCAGGTCGAGATTCAAGGTGCACTGTAACGTATGAACAACCTGTGAATAGCACGCAGTCAGTTAGTCTTTCTTTGCAGCTCAGCTATTGTATGCTTTGAATAAGGCGGTAGTAGAATGCCGCAAAGTATGTGGCTTATGCGGCGTGCTATGAAATATTCTGAGAAGTCCGACTTGTGCATTGCCACCTCTGACAACTTGCAAACAAAAATCCTCCCCTTTATTCGACAGATCACTCAGACCGAGTTGGCAAAACACCAACATAGAAAAAAGTCAGGAGGAAGCAGCCTCATGCATAGTTATATTATCCAGATCATTATATCAAGTGTATCATCTTTAATATAATTATTCTATTTATTTCTTTTTTATTCCTATTATTTATTCCTCGGTTGTAATACAGAAACAAAAATCTATAATGAATTTCACCTAATTTTTATTCCTCGTGCAGACAGATCAAATTCATTAAATGAGCCACTTCAGAAATGATTCATGGTTCATATCATTAGCTTATATGGCTGCTAAACATATAAATTAGCCACAACTTATCAGCACCTTCTTGTTCACAAACGTTTGTGCCTGGCAATAACGCTAGAGCACATAATGTTTATGTATTTCATTTTTTTCCCTATTATATTAACTACAAAACAATAACATCACCTGTATAGGAAACTAAAGTTGAATCTGCATAATGACAGTGTGCCAATGTTGTCTCATATCAGTGGTTAAGCTTTCAGTCTGTATCTACTTTTCTATCTGTTATTGTTGTTTTTTTCCTCCTTTGTCATGGCTTTGTATTTGTGTTTTATTTTGCCTGACACAGGCACGTCAGTATTGAATTGCTTTGCAACCCAAGTGTTGACTCAACATTGAAATAACTGCAGTGTCAGGCAAGTCAGCAACAAGCAGTGAACAAAAGATTTGGAACAAGACCTCTCCAAGTCAATCAGAATCCCAACAGCAGACGTGTGTCAGTGTTGAGGCAGCCTTTTCTCCTCAGAATTACGATCATATGCAAAGAGGTTTTCGGGGGACATCACGTAGCCTTGATGACGGGATTATATGAAAATATCTGACAACACATTTCAAAATGTTCTCACCAAAATTCGCACTAACCACGTCAGTTTGTTTACAATATCTGCTCATGCCAACTAAGCCTTGGTTATGGTTTGGTTAGTGTTAGACAAAAGAGAACTAAACCTGCAGTTTACTAATTCACTAATTTCTAGTTTAATATGGAACACTGGCTTTGTTCTTAAATTCAACCAGATCTCAACACCAACTGTTCCCCATGTTCTACAAATGCCACACAACTTCTTGCATTGGAACTGAATGACAATAATGAAATTATCTGCCTATGAACATAATTCACAGGAGACAAGGTTGCATTATTTTTGGACTAACATAATATCTTTAAAAAAAGACACATGATCTGTATTTGCCCTGTAGTGAAGTGTATGAATTTGTCCTTCGCAACATACTGTTTGCCCTTTGACCTCAACAGTCCTAATCTACATTTGCCCTTTTTATGAGAGCTACCAGCTGAGTTAGCTTTTCACCATAGCTGTTCACTCTGACTGACACCTCTCAGAGTGACATAGATTGGATCCATCCTTTCAGACTAACCATGAAGGGGGTTTTGTCTCATACGAGGGAAGATACTTTGTCATGATCCGTGCTGGTTGTATCGTTTCTATATATGAACTGCATTTGGTTACATGCTTGTCTTGCTCTAAAAAGGAAAGAAAAAAAAAGTAACCATGCTTTGAAACCAATAACGTGTTGCACATTTGACATTATCTTTTATCTATCTAAAAATTATTTGACCAGGAGTCCGTCTTGAGACGAGCACATCTCGTTTTCAAGAGTGTCCTGGCCGACGAGTAGGCATCAGGTAAACACTTTATTCCAATTCCAGTATTCGAACAGGGACAAACTGACCTATAGAGGCTTGCTAAATGGATCCGGTCTCAAAGTCATCCTCCAAGAGTTTGACCTCTTGCTGAAGGTTACATTAACTGTTTAATTCCTGCATCAGTGACACATACTTCAAGTCACCCACACTAGTCCTGCAGATGTTTTGATGGACACATTCAAAATGTCGACAACTAAGACAATCAAGGAAACAAAGAGTTCTCATTCAGTGTCACATGCCATGTTTATTTTGGAACTGATTTTTTCACAGCTGGATTGTGAACACATGCTCAGCTCTATTGGTGTGACATTTTTATTTCAATCTTTGAATCCTTTGTTCAAAGTGTATTCACAAATGAAACCATGTCTGCAGATTAGTAAAGACTTTACTAATGCAATGCCACATACAGTCTCCGTTACATGCAGAAATCCCATTTCATTTTTATTCATGTTTTCACCAATAGAAAAAAAAATATTTGTTTCTGATTGTCTGACATGAAATATAAATTCACTCTTTTCTGTGTTTTCTGTAAATTATTTGGGAAAAGACAATAATGACACTACTGACATTAATCAGAAAAAAAGTCAATCTCATTTTTTGGCTTTTACTGTATTTAGACACAGTTACAGGGATGTTATGTTGAACATATGTGGAGGGAAAAAGTTTATAATCAATTAAGAATCATTTTCTCACACACATTTACACCAGTTGTCCTCTAACAGTTTCTTTTGTACTGGTGTAGTAAATAAGCCTCAACAACAAGAAACTGAAATCATCTCCTAAAGTGATTTGTCAAATTAAAATGAATTACAGATTATTGGTGAATGATATATCAAACTGCATTATGAGTCAAAATGAAAATTGTGTACTTTCTTTGTGAAGCCTTGAATGCATCTCAAAATGTGTCTTTTTTATTTTGATCAGCCTTCATTATTTATATATGATGCTTGTTAACATTATGATATTTGTGATTTGATTTTTTATTTGTTTGGTGTGTTCGTTTGGCTTTCAGGCTGTTTCACAAGATTTTTTTTCAGATATGGGTTAATTACTGTATTTTTTTTTTCAAAATCATATTGATGTGTGAATTTTGTACATTGAACTAATCTCACTGGTTCTATTGTGCCAGGAAAAACAAATTAATAATACAGTGCTGTAATTGTATTCTTTTCAAATGCTGATTCAACCCATATCTGATCTATTTTTATTTCAATATAATATAAGTTTTGTATCTAAAAAAACAAACATTTCTTTACCCATGAGTGGTGTTTACATTGTGTTCATGTTTTTGTTTGTTTGTTTTCATTTTTTTTTTCTTGTTTTTTTTTTTAAGTCAGATTTCCCTCCAAAATTTATAGATCAGTTATTTTATGTTCTGACCACTGGCATTCACTGGTAAAGCAGTCCAGAATAATTTGCGCAGAAAATAACAGTGTAAGTCAGGTTTTGAAAAGTTCAAAATGTGTATTTGCCTCTCACTCAATAGAGTGCCACAGGAATGAGTTCTAACACTTGGAAATGAGTTAGCATTTTAGCACTTCTAGTTCCCTCGTCCCAAAGTCTATGGGTGTTTTGAATGGGTTTTTGGTTAGGTGAGTGATATAACTGTGGTTAACACCAGCTCAAGATGTTTTCATGTTTTATTCTACGACATATAATACATCAGTTTCATTAAGCTTTTATGTCTTAAGAATGGGTGGTTGCTAACAAGTGGCTAAATGAGACTACAGAGGTAGCTTTTTACTACTGTTGATTGTATATAGGCTTTAAAAAAAAAAAAAAAGAGCCCATTGGCTTTTTGTCGAGGGAACCAGGGTGACGCTAACATCTGGGTTGGCCGACAAAAATACATCAGCCCTGAGGCACTCCATTACAAGTTTTTTTTGCACTGTGAAAAAAGTGAGGGGTAAGTTCAATGTAGTGGTCAGAACAGGGCAGTAATTATACAAGAAAAAGGTGTGTATCAGGACCCAAGTTAAACTCTTGTTACAGGAGGTGTGTGTACATATTTCAGAGGGGGTCTCTGACATTTACTGTGATGTAGTTTAAGTGGTACTAAAATATTTCCTGCCTGGCAGTTGGTTAGATAGTCTGTTAGGTACTTCACTTTTGTTTGGGCTGCTGAACATTGTTTGAAAGTTAACAAAATTTTTAGAGAAGATGCAAAGTGCTATTTGCTCAAAATAAGTTTAGAATAACTTAAATGTAAGTGTGCATATAGCCCTTAAAGTTAAAGTTAAAGATAAATTATTTGATAAGTGTCTATTTATCAGACACAGAGAGATTAGCAGACGACAGAAATAAGAAGAGGCCAGAGAAGAATCTAGAAGGGCAACATCACTGAGAGCCTGTAACAGTGCAATTCATATGAGCTGTTATTTCTTCTGTTTGATTCTGATTTACATTAACTAAACACATTAAAGTGAACGACAATTATACACTTACAAAAATGATTAAAATTCACACACTGACTGGTGCCTGTTGCCCTGAACCCAACAAAAACCTTCTGTGTAACTACCTTGGTGATGTACTCAGAAATTGCCATCAAACCAGCAAGAATTCACATCCTCACAGGTTCTGTTTGGGGAAAGAAAGAAATAAATATGTGTTGTCCTTCCAATCTACAGAGTTTAACCCTGTCACCTTCAAAAGTGCAATGAAAGAGGCCTTGTAAGTTAACAGTAGTCTTACAGCCAGTACGTGGTGCTAGTTTTAGGTCTTTACTACCCGACCCTGTAGTGACTGCTGCAGTGAAAGTGAACGTCAAAATGGAGAACTTGATTCGAAGAAATTGCCTGTGAAAAAAAAACAAAAAAAAAAACAACATCAAACTATTTTTCAGCCGCTGAATGCACGGCTCCTCTGCAGCCTTGAGGAGAAATTTCCTGTCCTCAAGGACAGGACTTAATGATTGAGTGACTGTGGCTAAAGCCTTCAGCACACTGGAAGTTCACTCTGTCTTCTTTACCGAGAAATAATGCTTCACAGCCTGTCGATACACAAGGTCGACAGTAATTACAGGAAACGCGTCTTCTAAATAAATTTGGACACAGTCATTCAAAGTGAAGATGTTAAATGGATCTTTATTATTATCACTACTGGCAAATGTGGCAGTTCCCTCATCAAACAATAATAATAAAAAAAAAGCGGTTTTAGGATGTCTTTCGTGCCTTTAGTACCACTTAGCATTTTACCACAGTTTTGCTCCCAAACTCCCAAAGCCAAAAAAGTGGTTGGTGTTTAAAGAAGCCATCTGTCAAGCATTTATTTATTATCACGGTTCATGACTTATGACAGGCTGGTGAAGACTTCCAGGCCTCTGGGCTTTAAACGCCCTTTATAGTGCACAACTGAAGCAAAGCCAATGTGTTTACAGCATTAAGACAGCAATGTATTATTATTATCATTATTATATTTATTATTATAGAATTCTGCAGACAAATTGGTGAACACTTTTCTTACATAAATGCTAATCTCCTCAAATTTCAATGATAAAGATAATAAATAATCACATTCTGTGGTAAAATGTGTACAGCTTAGTTTTATTTAATATATATTGACATTTACCATCTGTACTCAGTTCTGGTGAGGTACAGTAGTTTGTTAGGAATAGATCCTTGTGGGTTTGTTTTGTTTTGTTGTTTTTATCTAACCTTGTTTCAAAACTATAAAAGGTTATTCTAACTGTCCTTGTGATGTGTTTTAGCCGAGGTGTCATTGTGATTTAAATAGGATGTGACTTTAAATTTATTCTTAGATCTTAGACTCTTTGTCTTTTCTTCTGAAAACTGTCCTGTAACGTGTGATGTGTGGGTACAACTCATCTGTATTCTTCTGTGTTTCATTGTCCACATCAGCACTCTCACAGTCTCCGCTATCACGTCACACTTTAAGTAATCTTTGTCTCCTTATGTGTCCTTCACTCCTCTGTATACTTCCCATAGTCATTACCATTCAATGTCCTTCACACTTTATATTCAATATGACAAACCTTAGTGGACATGAAAAGATGCAGCTTGTAAGATTTTTAAAAAGAAAGTGAAATTAATGGCGTGAATTTATGAATTTAGTGGAATTGAGAAGATGGATCTTCTCTATTGAAAGTTTGGTGTCTATAATGTGCTGAGGTCTTCTTACTGAAATGTACAAGCTGCATCTTTATTAATACCGTCCTGAATCCTGTCCTTTTCCTGTGGTTTAGTGCAACCAAAGTTTGCCATGACTGTATGTGCTCACCTCTCCTGACTGCATCCCAACAGGGAAGAAGAACTCCTTGCTGCTGCAGAAGTTCCAGAAGGATCTGAACGCCGGCGTTTTCAACACACAGGAGAACGAGATATTGAAGCAGATTATTCGTCAGGACAGGGAGATGGTGATGATGGTGGACCGCAAACAGTCAGTCACCGGGATGAACTCAACACCAATGTCAGGAAACTCCATCATTAACTCACCAGCCCAGCCACCCTTCTCCACTGCCTTCGGCACCAATCAGCTTCAGCAGTCCTCTGTACCCCTGACCTACAGCGCTTCAGCTATTGCCAATGCCTCTGCTGCCCGCATGCTGCCAGCCGCTGCCGCTGCTGCTGCTGCAGCGCAGGGAGTTTACCCTGCTCCCAGTGTTTCCCATGGCAACCTGCATTCTTCCTCAATCAACCCACAGACCCCACTCCAGCAGCAGGGAGCAATCATGTCGCCCTGCTCCTTCACGGCTGCCATGTGTAGTCCGCCCGTGCAGACCCCTCTGGCCAGCCGGAGCTTCCAGTACGGCTCGCCCACAGCCTCCCAGCTGTCACTTATCCAGCAGCCCATTGCCCAACCATCTCTAGCTGCACAGCAACAGCTTGCTCAGCAGCCTGCTGTGTCAACTGCAGCTGGAACCTCTGCCACACAGCAGCCGTCACCTCAGCAGCAGCAGGTCCCCTCACCTCAACGGGGAGACATCCACAAGAGCACACAGGCTCTTCAGTCAGGCAGCTTGAGTCGAGATGTCCGACACTTATCGGCCTCCCAACCATCACTGCCACATGACACATCTCTGGGGCCAAGAGCGCACCCAACCTCAGGAGACTCTCTGGCCTCCATCGTGCCACCAACGGCGGCAGCGATCCAGGGAATGAGTCTGCAGAGCGGCATCCGCACCACGGTGCCCCAGCGGGTCAATTTATTCCGGCAGATGTCGTCAGGAGCTTTGCCCCCGGTTCGCTCAGCCACGGCAGCAGCGGCGGCGGCAGCAGCAGCAGCAGCATCATCATCTTCAGCCCAGCACAGGGAATCCCCCGGATCTAGGAGAGATTCTGTCCTGAGCAGTACAGAGACTGAGCAAGACAAAATGCGTTTTGCATCAAATTTATGATCCCATTTTTCCCTTTTGATTTTTTAAACTTAAATATGTTTCAATTGAATTTTAAAAATGGAGATACAGCAAAAGAGATAAAAATGAGGAACTTCAGCATTTTTGTTTCTCTCCAGTTTTCTTCTAAAATAACCCCATAGAAATCCTGTACATACAAGCCCTTGTATTATATTTTAGACACATTGTCTCCCTAAACTTAAGAATGTATATTATACAGACACATCTCTCTTTTTCTTTACGCCATTAAGTCATATTACACACACACACACACACACACACACACACCATATATATATATATATATATATATATAAAAATATATGTATTTGTATGGATGGATGTGTGGAAGAGTCAGTGTGTGTGCGTGCATGTGACCGCGTGTGTAAAATCCAACTACAATATTTGGCAATGGCAATTTAAAAGCTGTAGTATAAACATGAGTCTTCCTTTCTGAGAAATATAAAGAATTATATACAGTGTATGAGGGGTTTTCTTAATTTCTTTTTTTTTCTTTTTTTTTTTTTTTTTTTTAAATGGGAAGCCTTTGGGTTTTTGACAAAGACTTTTTTTTTTTTTTTCTTTTTTTTTTTTTTTTTTTTACTATTGAGGAAGAGGAAATTTATCTTCTCCGATTAAGCAGCTTTAGGCACCACTGTGGAATAAATGCAAGCAACTGACAAATAATCTCAAAAAGCACACACACTCAAAGTGAATCTCATACTGATTTTCCTGAACCCTCATTTCAGAAACCAACACAAATACTGTAACAAAGTGTTACGTTGCCCTCAGCAACGAAAGTAGTCTGCTGAACCACTATATCCCCACAGCGGCTCACATACCGATCACGACAGTGTTATGGGTCCAAAGGGAATAGATAATAGAAATGCTGCTTTCTTTGTTTATTTTCAAGGAGAATGGAGTTTGGAGAAAGATATGGATGGATGCTATTGTTTTCTATTTCTGATTTCAGATGGCTGAGATGTTACGTAATGTTGCTTAAAAATTCTGTGTATATTTATAATATTTATAAACTAAAGATTATCACCATTATGCAATAGACTGTGACATAAAGATTACCTATATGTGTGCTGTAAATAGTTTTGTAGATCTAGTATTTACAGATACTGTGTGGTGCATTCTCTATCATAACAATGTCTTACTTCTATCAGGAACCTGGATATCATCTATATGCGACAAAGGTTAAGTGACAAAATACATATGTTTCATAAGAGATAAACAAACCTTAATGCAATAGCTAGCACTACTTGATGCTGAGAAATGCCTGATTGGAGGACATTTATGACACCCCCCCCCCTCTCTGTATACTATTCCTAGTCCTATAATAGTTTTCGATTTCACATCAAGTGAACATATACAATATTTACCTACAATTCAAAGTCGTCCTATTGAAAGTAAACGCGTCTTTTCTATTGCCTCATTCCCCAAAATCTGCTTAGGATCATTTTCAGAATGATTCTCTAGTTTATATTAAAAGTTCAAACTGATTATTTTATGAAATGCATTGTTTAAGGACAGAAATGAGGCTCATGTTTTTGATTCATTACACCTTTCTTTCTTTTCTTTTTTTTTTTTCTTTTTTTCTTAAAACCACAATTTATATCTAGTGCTTGCTCATGTGCTTCTTGAGTAAAACTGTACTGTTTGCTGTCATATCACAATTGCTGTAGTTGAAGAGCCTGGCACGACATTTTCAACACATGTTTTCGGTTAAAAATGTCAGGTATCCAGTTACTCAAGTGTGCAGGGGGACAATTTCACTGAGAGGTTTCTCTTTTTTTTGCTGCTGCATGTGTGGGGGAAAAAAAATGCTGGTTTGCATTAAGGTTTCTGTCTCATGTAAATCCACTATTTGGGCTTAGGCACTCTAAACTGGCCTGGACTGATGTTGAGGCCGGGAAGGAAGGTCAAACCAGAATATTGTGACTCTATAAAAAGGGATAAAAGCTATTTTGACTATTTTAATCCTATCACAACTAAAGTATTTGATGACTCTACTGAAATAAGTCAGCCATTATTATGGCTTACAGGTCATTTCTCTGCACATACTGTTGACTGCAATGTTGTGCTCACGGACTTCCTGTGGTCTTCTTATTCAAATATGTTCTACTCTCTATTTCTATTTAGAGTCACAGTTTTCATGGCACCAAATATCCCATCGGTTCAGAGCGACTAAGCCCCCGGAGACACTGTTTTAAAAAGATTACAAGTCTTCGCTACAGATTGTGTCGATAGTGTACCAATACAGTCAACCCACCGATGTCATGAAAGCATGCACTGTCACAAATACTTAAAAAGATACTATCTCAAAAATGTTGACGTTAAATGTAATGTTAGATTATGTTTTGTTCATTGTCTGTCTGCCTAGACGTTATCTGTGTGTGAACAGAAGCATTGACTTTTCACATGGACATTCTTAAGTATTTGTGCCTAAACTATAGCCATGTTCCATCCTTTGTTAAAGAGTGTGAGCTCGGTGCGTATGGGGGAGGGGGAGGGTGGGGGGGGGGGGCACTTCTGCACAAAACTGCGCATTCATCCTTACTATACTCTATGTGTTCTATGTCTCAGTGTTTTTTAGACGGGAAGGGAGTAAGCAATGATGATGACGGCCAAAATGTCTCAGTTTATCCAATTGGTATCTTTACTTACAATGTGAACTTCTAGAGGCAGGTTTTTTTCCTAACATTCTCAGTCAAAGCTGTTTAGAATATTTAATGGAGAAGTCATGTACAGTTTAAAAGAGAAGTGCAATCTTTAGACTTGCGGTAAATAATATCACACTCGATGAGACATTGTACAAATTTGGAGAACCTTTATACCTTTCTTTGTAGCTATAGCCACTGATGTTTGGGTGGAATATTGATGTGTGGAAGGAAACTGGCCAAAGCAAAACATTCTAAGTCATTGTCTTTGTTTTAAATTGCACTTTCTGATTTACTAATAAAAAAAGGGTACAGATTCTTTCAGCTAGGTTAGATGTTGAATGAGAAATTAGAAAGGGAGCAATATCCCTGAGAGTTTGTGCTGCCCTGGCCCTATAAGAGGTTTTAATGAGGGGAGGGGGGAGATGTTCTATTTACAACAGAGAGCGCTTAAATCGTGAATATGCCATAGTGTATAGGAACTATAGTACACAGTCGAGATGGACAGCAGCACTGTTGGTTTGTGCTGTTTTTGATACTTGCCTTTGGAGGGAGAGCTTCCCAACTATGTGCTTTTTTCACTATACCAATCACAACTAACATACTGGAATGGGCATTAATGGTGACGTTAAACACAAACTAATGAGCTTACATATTAGCAGTATAGAGACTCTCAACAAACCAGCACATATATTTGTATATTTCTTTTTGTTTGTTTTGTTGGTTTGAGGAAAAAAAATAAAAAATATGACATGCAAAAAGAACTGAAAATAATGCCCAGAGAGGACAAACCAAATGTTGATTTGGTTTTGATGACAACAGGTTTCATATGTTTACTGATGATGTGCGCAGTGGAGAGAGAGGCAGAGGCTACATCAAGCTGCTCTGTCCTCTTAAACCCCGCTCACATGGTCATTGTTCAGCTCATTCATGTAATCCAAGGCTTAGAGAAAACGAACTATTAGTTGGTTACTTGATACAGATGAAAGAAAGATAAATGTAAACTTTCTTACAACAATATGCAGACAAACAGTGTTTGTCAAAAAATCTTTTTGATTTTTTTTTTGTTTTGTTTATTTTGTTTGTAAATAATAAACCTTTAAAATATAGAAAATAAACGACATATTGTCATTTAAAAGCAAGTGTGTGTCATTCTGTTGTCGACCAGTGTGTACTTTGACAGAGCTCTTACTCATTTGCACTTTGATCGAGGGAGAAAATGGAGAAGTGAAATCAGAGATGAGGCAGTGATGGAGAGGGTAAGAGAGGATTCAGGAATAGTCTCTGTCAGCAGTCACAGGCGAGGTGAGAAAGCCGTCTCTGCGGGCCAGCGGGGATTTCCATTCATTACCTACAAATCCAGCTATCAGTCATAAAGTCATCTCACAAAAGACAGATTTTTCTGTATGACCATGTACTCATATACTGGAGTTACTAAATGCAGGCTAATCTGTGGCCTTTTTATAATATTAAAACTATGTTAATTTTTGATTGCATGTGCAACACTTAGTTGATCAACAGAAAATGAATCAGCATTCTGATAATTGAATGTTTTTTACTGTTACTGTTTTGTTTTTTTACACTATTTTCTCACATTTAATAAACCAAACAGTTAGTTGATTAACAAAGAAAATAATATTCGGATTAATAATCAATAATAAAAATAATTGTTATTTGTATCTCTAATGTCTCAACACTATCACATTTATAAATACATGTGAGTTCTAACACTTTTGATGTAATCTGGCAGGATAAACTCTGAGTACTTTACACTACAAGGGTGTCCATTTTCTCCCTCCCAGTTCCAAACAGAAGACGAGCATAGCTCAAATTGCAGATGTGGTTTGCAGTCACCTTGTGAGAGCCGGGCTCACAGGGGTTACGCCAGGGTGACGCATGCCTCAGCTGATCCGTTGCTCCATTATCAGAGGAACGCTGCCCTCGATTAGGCATTTATGTGTCATTAAATGTGAGTAATTGTATTGAGGGGAAATCATTTTTTTAGCATGTGTTTGTGAGATATGACTGAAGATATGACACCCATAGCTTGTCTACAGAGCCGTTATCACAGGAGCATCTTCACCTGCCACATAATGATTCACAGTGATGTAATATTAATAGATATGAGAATATATACATAAAAAAAAAAAAAAATATATATACACACACATATATTTACTTATACTTTCAACTGCATCTAATGGTCTTCTGCAACTGGATTTCTCTCAGTTGTCATGGAGTTGACTCAGTTGTCATCACTGACAGAAGTATGAAGCTTCAGTCTCACACAAAACAAGGTGGACAATCTGATGATGATGTGGTTGAAAGCTCTGGAAA